ACTTGAAAATATGTGTTTCTAAAATATAACCATAAATGAATTCAGTGGCATTTTCATGAACTTTTAAAAAGTGAATAATGTAGTACATAAATGAAGTATGTATATAATGTATAGGGTTTCCATGGAGCAGCTGGTGGGCTTGTACTGCCAACCTTGTGGTTAGCAATTTAGTGTTTATCCTACAGCACCACACACCCTAAACCTTTTAATAATGCACTTAAATTTTCACGTCATTTCACATGAATATTTAGGTCTATAAACAGAGGGAAAACATAGGCATAATAATGAAATAGTGCTTAAAATAATTTGCAGATATATTTATGTACAAGGGCGAGTCCAAAATTATCTGAAATCAGTTATATTAAAATTCCTGTCCACATCCATTACTGATGACAAACAACATTGAGCTTGCATGTGACATGTTTCTGTCGAAAAGATGAGTGACTGTGGATTATGTGGCAAGTCATTTGCAAATCAGCCATGACTCTGCCTATAAAATAATACACGGTAGACTTGAGTTTCAGAATGTTTGTGTGAGGTGGGTACAGAAACAACTCACGGAAGAGCATAAACAGAAGCGTTTGGACATCTGCAAACAAAATTTGGACTGATACTTGAAGGAAGGTAAAAGTTTCTTTTAAGAAATCATCATTGGTAACAAGACGGATTCATCACTACATACCTGAGAGTAAATGGCAGAGTTTAAAATGTAAACATTCTCAATTGCTGACCAAGAAAAAGTTCAAAAGTCAAACCATCAGCTGGAAAATTGGTGCTTACTGTTTTCTGAGATTCTCTACACTACCAGGAAAAAGGTTCAACACTCAACAGTACTCATTACAGTGAGATGCTCACTGAAGAGCTGAAGTGTAAATTTTGGATTAAACTCAGAAGACTGCTTTCCAAGGGCATTGTGATCTTGCATGACAGTGTATGCCCACACACCTCTGCCCACACTGTTGATACTCTGCAAAAACTTTGTTTTGAGGTATTAAAGCATCCTCCATATAGTTCTGACATTCACCTATTTGGTCCCCTGAAAACAGCCCTTTGAGGACAAAGATTCACCTCTGAAGATTCACTGTTATGAAGTGAAGACTCACAGCTCATCTTAAAACATTTTTTAATAAAGGTATACAAAAGCTTGTTGACAGATGGAATAAGTATATTGAAAAGCAAGATTATGTCAAAAAATTATGTATTTGTCTTTCATAAAAGTTGATTTACCTAAATTCTACAGTCAGAGTGTAGATAACTTTTGTCTCAGGACTTGGTTTATGGAGTTCGTGTATTTATTTCCTGTAATTTCTACTTTTTGGTATCTAGTTTAGGCAACTTATTTGTGACTGTTAAGTGCCATCGAGTGGTTCCAACTCATAACAACACTGTATAGGGTTTCTGAGGAGCAACTAGTAGGTTTGAACCCCTGACCTGTGGTTAGCAGTCCAGTGCTTATCCTACAGTGCCACACCAGGACTAATAGTCAATGAAATGAAGTTAATAAGATTAAAAAAGAAAATCCAAATCTACTGACTTTGAGTTGAAGTTGTTGTTGGTAAGTGTCATCAAGTCAGTTCCATGTTTCCAAGGAGCGACTAGTAAGCTTGAATCACTAACCTTGCTGTTAGCAGGCCACACCGGATTCCAATGTTAATAATAATACCTACAATATAAACTTGTGCTCAGTAAATATCATCGTAATTATGATTATTATTGTTACAATGTGCCCTGGTGGCACAGTGGTTAAGTTCTTAGCTGCTGAACAAAAGGTTGGAGGTTCAATCCTACCAGCCACTCTGTGAATGACAAATGTAATAATATGTTTTGGTAGAGAGTATAGGGGTTGATATGAATAAGAATAGACTTGATGGCAAGTTTTTTAAAAATTATTATTTTAGTGGTAAAAGACATAACTGTTGTGTGTGATACCTTTATAAAATAATTTACCTATCACTTAGAATTAGTACTAAACTAGATTGCTTCATGTATGATGGATGTTGTTTATAATTATAATATTGTTCTGTTTATAAATGTATTTTACTTTTTCTATGTACAGTTTTCCCACTAACCAATATTCAAAGGAGCCTCGGTGATTCACTGATTAAGTACTTGACTATTAGCTGAAAGGCAAACTGTTTCAACCCATTGGAGTTTCCATGGGGAAAAGATATGGCAGTTTAGTTTTATAAAGATTTACAGCCTTGGAAACCCTGTGAGGCAGTTATACTCTGTTCTGTGGTGCTGCTACGCATTGGAATCAACCTGATGGCAACAAGTTTTTAGTGGCCAATATTCCATGATCATTCCATAATCATTTTTAGATCTACCCACATCTTTTAAAGAAGTACATAATGCTTTATAAATGTAATGATATTACAATAAACAAAAATAAAACTCTTTTCTCTATTGATAGGCATTTAGTGGTTACATGTTTCTGCTGTTATCAGAACACCTTTGTACCATTTGTGTCCCTGTCTTTATATTTTTACATATTTATAGAAGTAATTATTTAGGGTTGGTGTCTAGGTTGTTTGGGAGAAGGATATCATGTTTGGTAAGGTGGAGGGTCAGAGAAAAAGAGGAAGACCCCCAATGAGATGGATTGGCCAAGTGACACCATCAATGGACTTAAGCGTGACAACAGTAGTGAGGTTGTCCCAGGATCGGGCAGTGTTTCATTCTGCTGTGCATAGGGTCGCTATTGACACCAAACAACAACAGGATATATACATTTAAATAATAAATTATCTTAGCAAACTTTCTTTTAAAAATGCAGATTGTGTTGTGTTAATCACATGAAAGAAACAGGCCCTGTCTTTGTATTATCATTAATACTTGGCATTGTCAATATTTTTGTTATTTTGTCAATTTACTAAATTATAAATTGTTTTTATTTCATTAATTTGCATTTACCATTTTAGAGAGGCAAGTCACTTTAAAATATATCTGATTATTTGCACTTTCTTTAAATTATCTACTTATTGTCTTTATCCAACTTTATCTTTCATTAATTAGTTTAGAAACTCTGTATTTGGTTATATTTTGTCTTTTCTGGATGGCAAATGTTTCTTCAGTTTGTCTTTTAACTATATGATGTCTTTTCCCATGTAGAAGTTGGCATCTTTATTTAATCCAAACTCTCAAAAATTGCCTTGGTGGTTTATGAATGCATATTATTTTTCAAAAGTCTTCATATTTCCAAAATTGTGAGATAGTCCTCCATATTTTCTTTAATTTATGAGTTTGCATATTTAAATTGTTAATCTCTTTGGAGTTTATCTTTATGTCTGCTGTAAAAGAATGATAATTTTTTTTTTTAAGTAGTCAACCACACTTCCCATTTGCTTCTTATTTGAAAATTCTGAAATTCCAGAACTGTTACCATAAGTATCATTGTCATTATTATCATTGTTGTCCTCATAATTACCAGTACAATAGTAAGCATTTTATTGACAACATCTCTTTAATTCTTATCATTACCGTCTATGATTGGTACTATTATTATCGCATATGCATTTTACAGGTGGAGAAATGACAGCACTGAGAGCATAGTGACTTATCAAATACCATGCATCTAGAATGTAGCAAAATGGAAATTCAGAATTTGGATATAAGTAGCAGAATTCTTCAATCTGTGCTATCAGTTGTTAACTGGGTTATGTTATTTAACTGTACACTGGTGTTTTGTACTTCCAACTATGACAACATTCTTTTATCAACGGTTCTCTCCATTCAATCTTGAAGCTTCGTTTACTCCAGGACCCATGACTCTTTTCCCTCTCACCCTTAATCATTCTGATTTTCTTCTCTTCTGCACCAGCAGAGTGGGAGATATTTCTGTTCCCATGTTTGTATGCGTTCTTTCTTTGTTCAGTGAATATGGGGCAATGATTCAGAATCTGACAGGCAGTTTGGCAGAACATGATAGGTATGTCAGAATTTTAGAACTGCAATTTCTGTCCTTAGCAGCCACAAGTGAATTAAAATGAACTTTAATTGATTTTTTTCTTTTTTTTTTAATCTCCAATGTTAGTTGAAAGAATCCCTGATGGTATACTAAGTTAAGGTCCATGGTCCAAATCTACCTGCTGCTCCAAGGGACAAAGATGAGGCTATTTACTCTTGTAAAGATTTATAGTTTCAAAAACTCAAAGCAATTTTACACTGTCCTATAGCATCACCGTGAGGTGGTATCAACTTGATGACAAAAGGAGTCATAATGTTAATTGGAAAATTACAAAATCTAGCTTCAAGTATTACTTGAACTAAATTATTATTAAAATTTTAATTATATAGTATATTACTTTCAAAATGAAAAATCTAAATTCTTTTAAAATGTTCAACTCTTCTTCAAATAAATTTGATAGGAAGTTTCTTTCCAGTTCTTTGAAACTGTTTATCCTTTTAAAACTTGATTTTTGGCTTGAAATTGATTCTGACTCATGATAACTCCCTGTTTGCACTACAGAACTGTTCCATAGGATTTTTAAGACTGTGACTTTTAGGAAGCAGATTGCCAGACCTACCTTCTGGGTAGATTTGAACTTCCAACCTTTAAACTAATGGTTGTGGTTGTTAAGTGCCTTAGAATGGGTTCTAACTCAATAGGGACCCTGTATAGGGTTTCTGAGGCTGTGCATCTTTGTGAGAGCAGAAAGCCTCATCTTTTTCCTGGGAGTGACTGGTGAGCTCAAATTGCCAAACTTGTAGTTCGTAGTCCAGTGTTTATCATACAGAAATACTGTGCTCCCAAAACTAATAGTTTAGGAACGATTTGTATCATCTGGTGTTTCTTTGTATTCTGTTAAAATATACAATATCCCTTCCCAAGCTCTAGCATTAAAAATCGTGATACAAATATATAAAGGCTGAAAGCTCTCACTAGCAACAGAAATGTGTTTTGAATTTAATTTAATGCTAAGGGGGCAGCTCAATTTTTCAATGAAAAAGTTCAACTGAATTCCTTTTCTAATCTACCTTTCATTTATTTGGTGTCTCAGTCTTCAGGAACCAGTATTACTGTGGATATTGCCGTGATGGGCGAAGCTCATGGCCTCATTACTGATCTTCTGGCGGACCCTTCTCTACCCCCGAATGTGTGCACGTCCTTGAGGGCAGTGAGCAACCTGCTTAACACACAACTCACCTTCCAGTCCATTCACAAACCCAGAGTTAATCCCGTGGTTTGCTTCAGTGAGAATTACACCTGTTCAGATTCAGAAGAAAGCTCTGAAAAAGACAAACTGACAATACCCAAGGTAGGTACCAATAACATACTCCTTAAAGCGTTAACCCCTTTATCTTTTAATTGTCTTCTAGCTTTTCTTCCTGTTGCTCTAAACCTTCTAATCAATTCCAATGACTTATTCAGGGCCTTGGTGGTGCCATGAGTAAAGCACTAAACTGCTAGCTAAAGTTCAAACTCACCAGGTGTTCAGAAGGAAGAAGATGAGTCTATCTGCTCCCCTAAAGAGTTACAGTCTCAGAAACTCAATATAAGTTGGAATTAACCAGACAGCATTAGGTTTAATATGGTTTTGTTGATCATGGTGACAAAACTAATAAAACTTAAACATAAAAAACTTTGCCCTTATACTTGATCACTTTCTATAAATAGAAATCTCCATTACCTGTTTTATCCAGACCTTCAAATAATTATTTCTTCTAAATGCCATACCTTGCTTTAGGTGAAAAGTAGTAAAACATCAGCATCAAAGCCAAAACAAAACAAAAAACAACCCTGCTCAGATTCTAAGTTGGATTCTGTTTCCATTTATTCTATATTTCAAGGTTCTTTTGCTCTTTGATCTCTAAATATAATATTTTTCATCATATTCCATCTATTTTCCAAATTAGCCAGCCTTTTAAATTTTATTACAGTTTTGGTTGAATTTCATATTTAAAATGAAAGATGGCTTTCACAATTGATACAACTTCTTTTTATAGATAAGATATAAAAGATTTACAAAAGTAAGTTGTAGACTCAAATTCTCTATTAACCGATTTTAGGACGGATGACTTTGTCCAGTACAGACCTCATTTATTAGTTGAAACCAAGTTATATTAAAGACTTAAAAAAAATTTTGTTAAGTTGTTTCTGATATATCCAATCCTGTTATTTATTTAGAAGACAAACCATTGTCTTAAGTTGGTTGAAAATTAGTACCATATGGGCTCTTCTAACAGCACTGTCAAGCAGGTATTTACATAATTCCCTTCTAGCATCAGCTTTCTGAAAAACTTAAAGCTAAGCCTTCTTTGACAGTAAGGAATGGAGAGAGCGATTGATTCCTTGAATGGTCAGTGACCATTTCTCTGCAGGAATGCTGGTATTTTCCAGTGTTTGAGCATTTCTCTTCCCACTGAGTTAACCTTCTCAGATACATCTCAGGTATTTAAAAGATGTAGGAAATTATTTAGAATCAGACCTATTTTTCAGTTCAAAGATTAAAGTTCTCAAAATTGGTGCCATCTTCTGAAAAGGAGTATGTGTCTTTGGAAATATGGCTTCATAGTTGATCTACTATGAATAATGAGCCACAAATAAAAGTGGGTATAAGTTCTAAACTATTATGACTATCACTGATGTGGTTTTAGTAGAATACCTTCACTTTGGTTTTTAAGGTTAAGGGCCCACTTTAAAAGTTTTGTTGCTTATCCTTTGGAACCCACTATCTTGTCTTGACCTTGATGATACCACAGATCATACTTAGGATATGATAGGAGTAGAATTAATGAAAAGAAGGGGTAGCAAATAAGTCAGCAAGGTCTTCTATTAGTTGGTACTGATTCTGTTGCCTATATTCTTGATGATTAGTCATGTTTACCATTAAAAAGGTAGGGCATTTTGTAAAAGAGTTATTATACCTTACACCTACCCCTTATCATTTATAAATCAACATATGTAAATATAATCAATAAACACTTGGGTATTATAATATTTTGTATAGGTGATATAAATTTATGAAACCCCCCCAAACAAGTGACTTTTGAAGGAAATTTTGTATGTATAATAATTAACATAATATATGTGAAAGAGGAATTCTTGTGGTGCATTGTTTACAGCACTCAGCTGCTAACCAAAAGGGTAACAGTTTAAACCCAGAAGCTGCTTCAGGAACAATATTGTGCCAATCTGCTATTAAGAAAACTCTATGAGGCAGTTTAGTTCTGTCTTACAGTGTTTGGTTTCTATGAGTCTGAGTCAACTTGACAACCTTATTTATCTATGCACAAAAAAGAGATTTCAGAATTTCTTTTTTGTTTTATTATAATAGTCACCCATTTCATCCAGTCTGTTAGTGTATTTTTGAGTATCACATTTTATATTGGTAATATTCAACTAATATAGCTTAGCAAATTCACTTTTGATTAAAAACCCAGTTCCTTCCATTATATTACATAGACATTGGTAAGTGCTGTCAAGTCACTTCTGACTCATAGCAACCCTATATAGCATTTAGGAGGAGCAGCTGATGAGTTTGAACTGTCAACCTTGTGGTTCACAGTCCAGTGCTGATCCTACAGGAGTCTACATAGAAGTTAGTTATATAAAATATGGTTGGCAATAAAATCAACACTCTTTCTTCCTAGCGCCTAAGAAGGAATTTGCCCCCAGGACTACTTAGACGAGTTTCATCTACTTGGACAACCACCACCTCAGCAACAGGTCTGCCCACTTTAGAGCCTGCACCAGTTCGGAGGGACCGAAGTGCCAGCATCAAACTGCATGAAGCACCTTTATGCAGGTGAGACAATGATCCTGTAGGTTTTGTCTTTTAAAAAAGTTACTTAGCAATGAGGATTTATAAATACAGAGCATGAATATAATGCATTAATTATACATCAGGTTTGGAAATGAAAAAAGTTGTATATCATCTAAATGTGGTGTAAGGAATGAAAGTGGTGTATGGATTAACAATTTAAATACAGAGAGTGATTTCTTCCAGTGTGACCTTGCAACACAATAAAGGCAGGCTAGATTTTTACCTAGATTACATAACTGAGGTTCACATGAGACTCTTAATCAAAGGTTTCTAACCTGACACTTAAAATTGACTTAGATTCCCTAAACCCAGCAGAGAAGCTGTCCTAGTATTATCCCAAAGGCAAAAATAAAAACCAAAAGTAGATTATCGTCCCCAAAATCACTTAGACATGTTCAAGCATTTGGTGATTTAACTTCATTTAGTGTATTAATTCCAATATTACAAAGTGACTTAAAATCCAGAATTACCAAAACTAAAGAAGAGATAATGTTAATATATGGAAATGATTTGAAGAAAACACCTAATACAAGAAACACTTTATTTAATAGAGAACTTGTATGGGGCATTATTCTATTTA